TGATGCTTCATTAAAAGTAGATTTTTAAGTATACTATCTGATGTATGGTGGAATTAAGTTTCCATGTAACTATTGCTCATTATTCAAATTCTCCGAATAAATTTCAAATTATTGGAAACTGGATATATACACATAGCTATAGATATTCTAAATTAGATATTACATTTAAATATACATTAAATACTAGATTCAGAATGACATGCTGCAAAGACAAAATCTCTATGTTACACAAATAGAAATTAGTTGCTCATTGGCATTTTAATTCACAAAGGAAATTTTACTTTGGAGGTAAGTCAGCTCAGCCTTTCTGTATGAAAATTTAGGTCTCAACCTACGGTTACTATAGAGGCAGCCCACCTGCTTCCTATCCTGTTACGAGCTGTAGCTCAAAGCCTAGTTAACAAAGTGTCCCCACTGCAGCTAAAGTACACTGTCAAATCCTCCGAATAAATCGCAGGGAACTGAACACCAGCATCCTCAACACCAAGAAATGTCTATTATACCATGAGCCCCTCCCTTTAGCAGCTGGAGGTATGTGGGAGCCAGGGCAGGGTGGACACATTATTGACATCCACAGTCTGCAAATCTATTCCATTTTAAAGAGAGAATTTTTAACTTTAAAAGGCAGATTTATGTATTACAATATATATCATGAAACTGTTCATGGTATCAACAGAGCAGGCATATTCAGTCCTGTCGATTGGGCAAATTCTTACAGCTGAAGGTATTGGAGCAGACGTTTTTAGGTGAGGCCTTTCTGACAGAGATAAAACCCCAGGTGCCCCAGTGGGGTGGAGTTCTTTACCGTTTGCTGTTGATTTTGTTTGACTGCTCTACTAGTGGCTAAGTGAGCCTTCCAGGTCATGACTTATCCGTTCTATTTTCCAGATCTATTTAAATTAAGCATTTTAAAATTGTATCATTAGTTTTTAAAAGCACAGTGGTTATATGTTTATTAGGTAAAAATTAGCTTAAGCTATATCTGACCTACATTAAAGTATTTTTTTTTTTTTATTTCAGCATATTATGGGGTACAGATGTTTAGGTTACATATGTTGCCCTTCCCCCCCTCCCCCTCTAAGTCCGAGTTTCAAATATGTCCATGCTTCCGGTGGTGCGCATTGCACTCTTTGTGTATGCGCTCGCTCTGTTGCCCAGGCTGGAGTGCAGTGGCGCAATTATAGCTCACAGCAACTTTGAACTCCTAGGCTCAAGAAATCCTTCTGCCTCAGCCTCTTGAGTAGCTGGGACTATAGGTGTGTGCCACCATGCCCCGCTAATTTTTTAATTTTTTTGTAGAGACAGAGTCTTGCTATGTTGCCCAGGTTATTTTCAAACTCTTGGCCTCAAGTGATTCTCTTGCCTCAGCCTCCCAAAGTGCTGCGCTTACAGGTGTGAGCCACCATGCCTGGCCTAGTACAGTCACTACAGCCTTTGGCTATAACAGCAATAATATTAATACATGAGTACCAGGTCAGACATGGGGGGAAAAATATAGATATACACACACACACATATATATGCATATGTAAATAATGTCATCAACCAAGATGGTTCTCAAGTGATCTGTCCAATATAGTTAAAAAACAAAAATTTGAAGAATGAAGCAGCTACTACTTCCTTTTGAGGAAATAATGCAGACTTTATGACTAGGAGGTTTTCCTCTTGTTTTTGATATATTTTCCTTCATGTAATTTCATTCATTACTTTTAGTTACCATTTTAGGTTACTTCTCAAAAATTGTTTCCCTTTGCTACCCTTTAATTACTTCTAGATTACTATTAGGCACTGCCTCCTTCTTCCTCTCTCTCCACTCCATTGCCTCAATCATTCCATTGCCTCGATCAGTCATTATTTGGCTCTTACCTATGGATTTGATATTTTTAAGCCTTCTTCATACACTGGCTCTTTCAATTTCAGTTGATTTTTAAATTCTTCTAATCATCTCATATTTTCCTAATCGATAAATTTTCCTATTCTTCCTTTTGGCCTATCATTTAAAATAACTTCACCTAACATGTAAAAGATATTTAATTTCATTCTTTCTTATACATTAATGCAAAAGGATACACTGCTTTAATCAGCAGTATTAAAATCATGTTCTTATACAAGACAAATTTTAAATATTAAACAAAAGTGAAAATTGTCACTACTACAAAAAGCTTCTGAAGACATTGGTAAAGCATGTTCTTGCTGTCACATTGTCAATGCTGTCACATTGACAATCTACATAATTAACAATAATAAGAATAAAGAATGGAAAGAAAGCATTTTCTTTAAACACAAGGAAACAAAGGTGATGATATATCTTAGAAGAAATCACGACTTCTATGAACAAATAATACAGTAAGATCCACTCTTAGGTAAAAATGCATACTATGTTATATTTATTATTTATTTACTCGTTTATTTATGTATCATGTTATACATATATATTCTGCATTAACATGTTAAAATAAAAGTGAATATTAAAAAAAAGAAAATTTTACCATTCCTTAGCTATGTAAATCAAGTCTTACTTTCCAAATATCAAACCAGTTGCTTATAAACAGAGGATTTGAGAAACTTCTAGTAACATAAATAAAAATTTATTTTTAAAGGGTCACAAGATGAGTAGTTAATTAAAACACACACACACACACACACACACACACACACACACACACACATATACACTTTCTTTAGGTTGCTGAAATATCAAGTCTTTAGTTTCCCATTAAAAACAAAACAAAACCCTGATTATAAGCTTTCAAATCATTTGAAGATGTGAAAGACTGTCTGCATTTCAGCCCAGTTCAAAGCCAGTAAAGAAATCATTTCTTCTTCTTCCAACTCAAAGTGTGTTTAGGAGAAGGACATCAGATAGAAGTGGTAATGCCAATCTAACCAGTTTTAAAATACAAAGTGCTTCTAGCAATATTTCGATACATATAATTTGACAAAAATGTTTTATAAACCTAAGCTTTGAAAAATAGAAAATATAAGCCCTAACAAAAAAGCATAATTTGTAATTGAAAAAATAATATTTTGTAGGGAAAAAAAGTGTCCTTCCAAAAAGAGACAAAAATGACTTTTATTTCCCAAGAGAATTATGCCACTTTTATACAACAAAATTACAGTCACCACAAATTGCTTTCAACAATTCCATTGCTTCTTCATTTGACCACTTGAAAATCAAAATTCTTTCAGATTATAAATATAACTTTTTATAACTCTGTTATTACGTACTGTGAATGGGGAAAGCGGGCCAATCTTGCGGCCATAGCGTCGAACGGCCTCTCTGATGTGGCAGGGCTGGATGGCATCGCTGTGAGCCTCAACACCACAGGCCGCAGTGCTCTGTGACAGAAAAACACATAAATTGTTACTAAATCAAAAACACACAACAGAACTACAGTGTATAAAATATGAAAATAAACCTTTATAAAATGGACCATTTTTCCCCTTAGGATGCACATCACTGCTGCCATATACTACATCTGAAAAAAAAAAAGTTCCATTAACAAATCAAAGATGACTTTTACATGACCCCTTCCTAGCAGACCTACCAAATGTGATTTTTATGCCCACAGTATTTCACCTAAGCCTGCATGTCAAGATACAGGAGAATACAGCCACTTACGCGCGTATAAAAAGTGTCATGGGAGCTTGTTGAAAGAACCACAGGAAGTTATTTTTTAAAAAAAAT